ATGGAAAGACGGACAGTTTTATTTATGTAAGAATGGATCTTATAACTACCGGAGGATGTCAGGAGGGACTGAATACAACTGCTACAGGACTCGCTTCAGCACGCATGCGTGTTTCAGTTCCGTGTACAAGTGACTTGAGCTGCGCGGGACTTGTTTCCAAAGCGACGAGCAGAGGAGAACGTTCTTGGAAAAAGAACTTCGCTTGAATATTCGTACCTTTATGGTACCTTTTTCTGATGTTTGAGAGAAAGAGAGGTCCTGTAGCCGGTTTTTGTTGCATTAAATTCTTGGGATGAAAATAATTTGGTCCGACGATCATTGCGCCGTGCCTGCCCCTTGAACCGTACGGCGCCCTCAGGTCAGAAGGGCGTCCCATTTAGGCAGGGCAGCGCCTCTTTCAATATGAGAAGATTTAATTCCCCTGCACACGGTCAAAAACTGGGGACTGTTTGCCCATATTGGAATTGCATCATGTTGTGCCGAACACTTTCACGGGTCGACGTGCTTTCGGCGCTTATCTCTGTCACAGAAACAGGAACACGCTGCCAGAAAATATACATTATAATTTATATAGGCCGGGATGGCTCAGTCGGTATAGCGACTGGCTACGGGCTGGAAGACCGAGGGGTCCCGGTAGTGTCAAGAATTTTCTTCACGCCATCCAGACAGGCTGTGGGGTCCATGCAACCGCCTATCCAATGGATACCGAGGGTAAAGCGGCCGGGGCGTGAAGCTGAGCACTCACCTCAAGCTATTGCCGAGGTCAAGATAATGTGGATCTACACATCCACTTATGCTAATAACGACAGGAACACGAATGCAAGGAAGCAGTTTTAAGAAACGCAAATCTTTTGATTCTGAGCCCCCTGTGAACGGTACCATCTTTAGGCAATGCAGAATTCACGTGTTCTCACCGTCAGCATCTTTCTTACTTCCAGGATCCTTGCATCCTTACCCATAATTCTTTGTGACGGCGGAGAAAGTGTAAACACAAGCATACGCATACGGGACTGCGTGCGCACAACAAGCAGCCCTGACGGCCCTGACCACCTGCACGGGTGTGGGCATGGTAAGCTTTGCGCTTGCTCCGTAAAACTGAGAGCCGGGAAATTAATCCTCTGAAGCCTGTGTACATCTAGATAACGTTTGAACACTCAGCTCATAGGCCACAGGAAGTACTGTATCTTCATGACAAGGACCAACCGGTTAATACTGTTTGGGCAAGTGGTCGATATTGCGAAGATCGTCCGAAATATACACACACGGACACATCGCGTGGGGACAATGCAGTGAATTCGAGTGTCAAAGCAGATGATGGTACATAGCTACAGTAGTAACCAGCATGCATTAATGGTTAATGCCGCCACATGGACGCACTAAAAGCGAACGTATGTTCGTGTCACACGCGGGAATTGTAAGAGTGAAATCTATTTCAGCGCTTCACTGCCACTCTAGAATTCAAGGAAAAGGGGCGGTTGAGTGTAGTAGGTTTCTTGGTTGTCACGGCTTCAGCCTTTGTCTCCCTTCACTTTAACAGATTTTAAAAAACCCTTTCAGGTGGCGGTTTGTGTTGGTGTGTCGGATACTTCGTATAAATTGGAGACTTGGTTTTATAGGCGTTTCATTGTTTCGCAAGAGGTAAACAATTGTAGTCCTTTTCACGGCGTTGTCAGTTCTCAAGAAGGAACTGCTGATGCAGTTTAGGACAACGAAGTTGTGGCAGCATTGCAACACTGTAGCTCTGTCACTCACGCTGCAGTATCGGACAGTGCTGTAACCTCAGTGCACGGTGCGTTGCTTCACGCCATACCGGGCTGGTTAGAATAGCGGTTTCAGAAGGTACTTGGGCCGGGACACTGAGGTTTGGCGGGATGAGAAACCTCGTTTAGGCCACGACCACTGCCTTCCAACCTCTCCAATTCGTGAATCAGCAGACCGCAGCCTTCTGACAAGCCCAGACAGGCAGTACCCGATGCAGGGGCGCCGGTGACGCCAGATGGCCACGTTATTGTCGAAGTACCAAAAAACCAGCCTCTTCTCTCATGCCTCTGCTTTCACGTTCACACCGAACATGCTTCGACTTTTCCGAGCCTCCACTCCTTTCTATTTCGGATAGCGGTTTCCCACACAAGAGAAATGATTGATGGCTACCGAGGGTGTTGCAGGAGGAGGGGGCGGTCCACTCCGCCGTCTCGCCCCCGCCCCCCACACACACACAAGAGGTTCAGTTCCAGTATTAACATTGCCACAGGCAGGCTGGCTCCCGGTCTGCATTATGAATAAATCAAAGAACCGCGCGCTTCAGAAATAACTGATCGCTCGCCATTTTTCTCTCACATTTTGAGAAACAGTTTCCCCTTTTGGGCTATATTTTGTGTAAAGGAAATTGACTTTAGCACGGAAACCGTAATTCACCCCGAAGTCGAGTTTCCATCATTGTGTCTAACTGTCGCCTCTGTAGCTGCTGGGGGTCCGTGTTCTGATCCCACAGGGTGTGTGCCAAGTGCAGTTACAACTGTACGCCATTTTCGGTACAGTTATTATGCTATTCCTCTTACATAGTTTTAATCGATGGTCAAAATCTTTTATTTATATAGCTTTTAAATTTTTACTCCTCTTGATCGACACCTCTTAACAGGTCGTCTGTGTTAACGCTCTGAAGTATGAATTTCGTCTAAATAATATACAAATCCAGTTCCTACCTCACAGGAAACATTACGTCTCCGCTACAGAGCCCAACCGGTTAATGCTGTTTAAGTCGCTCTTTATTGTGAGAAACGTACGGAACACACAGATACAGTCTGTGGGCAGAATGCAGAGTTTTAGTATGTTCAGTCCGTACCTCAAAGGAAACATTACGTCTCCACTACAAAGCCCAACCGGTTAATGCTGTTTAGCGGAACAGTCGCTGTTTACTGTGAGAACCACACGGAACATACAGATACAGTCTGTGGGCAGAATGCAGAGTTTTAGTATGTTCAGTCCGTACCTTACAGGAAACATTACGTCTCCGCTACAGAACCCAACCGGTTAATGCTGTTTAGGGAATCAGTCGCTGTTTATTGTGAGAATCACACGGAACACACAGGAACACTCTGTGGGCAGAATGCTACGTAATTAGAACAGGTAGTACCACTGTTTTAAATGGCTAAGATCATACACGATAATTGGCGAAGTGTTTGCGCCACTAATCGAATGTGTTCGGTATCGAAGGATTCCTTGATATGCATCGTTAAGTAAAGCCCAAGATGCAGGCACACGGTAATGAATGCATGGAAAAAGTTAATAATTTTGAAAATTGTTCCGTGACGAGATATACGAAGGGAACTTGAATGTGACGTAACAACAGAGGCAGACTGAGGCATACTCGTATTGTTAGGCGGTGCCGCCTTGCCCTCACTTCACTTATTCACGGCGTAAGACGTCTTTGAGTCTGCGTCGTGTCATCAGACAAGTTTGCATGGGAACCAAAACAGCCGCACCGGGTCTCATTCAACACACACGACTTGACGTGCTCCCATGGATATGTATCTCCCTTCAGGACTCAGTCCTGGACAACCCTGTGGCTGGTGGTCGTGTAATTCGGAAGGCTGTCGATTGGTCGCTCAGCTTTGCGGACGATCCGACCGAAGTGACATGCGGTCAGGATGGCTCATGTCTGTTGCCCCAACACGAATTAATCAGAGTTACCCTCTGTGTTGTGCGGTTTTATCGCAGCTTAATGCACGGCAGATTCAATAAAAAACCGCTTTAGTGGCGCAGAGATCCAGCGTGTGCAGTTATGCACACGGGAGCACGCCGAGCGACTTCATTGTGCATTCGCGCGTCCTGATGTTCCTCTCTGCGCATATGTAACGGTGTCACGCGCTGAGGACTTGCCGTTAGTCTGCACATGCTACCCCCTGATTTCTCCAGTCCTACGTCTTACCGGTATTTAACGCCATCCACGGCGGATAACACGCACAAATATGCAGTTGCAGATCGTCTCCTTTAGGTTGGTTGGCAATATCCACATCAATATGTCATCACTGCTCACAGGACAGAAAGGACACGGTGAAGAAAAGACTGCTCACTTGTTCGTGACATACCACTTACCTTACGTAGGTTCGTGCAATGTGTTAACTGTGGTAGCCCGAAATTTCATAATTTCGGAGCATTCTTCTCACCGCTACGTCACTCCCTATGCATGTATGGCCGTGGGTTCGAGTCCCACTCGAGACATGGATGTCTGTGTGGGTTTATTCTACGTTTGTGTAGTTCTGTGTGTAGAAGTCCTGGGCCCAATAGGGGTTCGTAGAGCCACGAACTGTTATTTATTGCGGCTAGCACACCGCATAAACGTAAATTATGTAGTAGGCCACGAACTAATGGGCAGTCCTTTGTTTCAGTGAATCGCATCTGTTCTATGGCTACTGATAATATTTTTATATGGATATGCAAAGTGTAGTGCCCTATATAACGGAGATGCTGTACGGTCGACTATTTGTGCGTGTTAATTGTGGGAGATGGGATTAAACGTTGGCCTCGACGCATCAATTGATGACGTGTAGGACTGGAAAGGAATACGGGAGAAAAATGGGGACGTTAACAGTTCGAGACTTGCGCCTTGCTGTGTTCCCACTACAACAGTAAAATCATAATGACATATGTTACAGTCTCTCAGTCGTCGGCTGCCATGTTTTTGTTATGATAACTGCTTGCTTAGAAGTGCGTCTTGGAAGCAGTGTTATNGTGACATTAGTATCGTCAACCGAGACGTCACTTTCGCTATCATCACACGGACTCTGTGTCCGTCCATCTTTACTTACTCTTCAACTGTAATCTTGGAACCCAGTAAAGTCAACCGATTCTTCTGCAACCACTAAAAGACTTAGCTCTTTTACTTACCTACACCTCAAAGCAGCATCCTCGATACAACAACAACGACGAACAGTACACATTTACTTGTTCTGTTTGTTATACACGTATGTGGTTAGTGACGTGTCGACTTTTGTTTGCAGGTCAGAAGGACGGTGGGACGCAGATAAAGCTCATCATTGATTACCCCAACGACGTCCAGGCGCTCTTCAAGCCGATGAGGTGAGTAGGCGCAGGTTCAGAGGCCGTACTGTGATGCACTTCCCTGCCCTTACAGCGTGATGCTAATTACTTAACCCTTTAGAGATCAGATACCAGGGGGCATCTTCTCCGCGTGACGAAGATAGATGTCTGGGTCTCCGGCCCTCTTATCCTCGTGTAACCTCGGACCCTGTGACAGATAAAGCCCCGTCGTGCATCTTCGGGTTTCTCTGAATCGGAACTGAACACAGGTCACCATCTCCTCGTCGAGACGCCTGCGGGCTGAAGTTGTCCCTGCGCTTAATTAAGCACCTCTCCGTGAAGTGGGGGTATAGCTCCACAGATTCTTAACCTGACGTTAGGTGGAGTGAATGGTCAGCTTCACTCCCCGGGCAAGTAGGCATCGGTACCCATTGGAGACGAGGCTGGGTGGGCCCCCAGAATTTGCGAATAGGAGCAGAAGATCGCAGCATGGCCTCCTGTAGACTTGGCGCGCCCATGGGTGAGGAATTCTTTTTGCACCGTACTCTCAATGTGTGACGTGTGGGGTGTGCAGAGGTGCAGTAAGTCTTGCGCCTTGTACTGTGACGGTTGTATTTTGAGATATTGCACCGTGTAATCTGGTGGTCCGGCACCAACATTTCGGACGAAACTGCGTCCTCCATCTTCAGGGTAGAAGACTAAGCCTGAGCCTAGCGTGGGAGAGCCAGAACCGCTCGATACACTCTCGGTTTTTGCTCTTATACCTTGAAGACAGAGGCACCCGTTACCTCCGAAACGTTCGTAACAATTTATTAGACTACACGGCGTCACATTCCAAAGGCAAAGGGATGTTTCTTGATGAGTTGTTTCATTTTCCGGCTCTGATGCAGACCACTGGAATCGCCGAGGAAGATAATGCATTTACGTGCCTGTGGAAGGGGCAACAGAGTTTGGGGGGGGGGTAACTGCAGGATGTCAGGCAGCCGCGCGGGCAGGAATACGATAATTTTGTTTTCTCTTTGTGAGAGAAGCCGCCACGAATCTCATTTCGCTGTAAATCCTTCTGTGTTTGCTCCTCCGTTATTGAAGACAATCGGGTTAGGGATATGGATTTAGGTCAGAGTGAAACAGAGGCGCCCCGCCCCGCGTTTCTTTCCGAAAACTGTTCAGACGCCTCAGGATAGGGACCAGTGGAGGTCCCATGCGAACACGCAATGTAACTTCTGCTGTGACATTGCTGGCTGTGCGATTGGGGTTTTATGCAGTCACACCCACTCTTACTTGTGTGCTTTTCGTAGAGGTTTCCGGAAATGGTTCGGCCGCTCAGGCCGAAACGTCTTAGGCTTCTCCCGAGCAGACGGGCTAGCGGAATTAAACACGTTATAGATGGAAATGAACATGATTACAACAGGCACTGGTAACGCCACTTACGAAATGAAAAGGCGACTGACGGCTCGCTGAAGTGAGGTCACCCGCAGTGGCCTCAAGGCGTGAACGCCATACGCCTTGCAGAAGGGCCGGGCGGGCGGGCGCTTCTGCCTCGGGGGTCCTGAAGACGAGAGGTGCGTGAGGAACATGCAACTTGTTTTGCTTTGATTATTTAGACACGGTGGAGAACCTGGCGAAAATCACGACAAACAAACGAGAATGGTGATTTTTCACTGCGATTGAGGTTCCATACTGATGAGCTGAGCGACTGTCAGTTTCTCGGGACTTGATTCAGTCACGCACTCCAGTGGCTGGACTTGAGCCGTCCTCACTCTTTTGGGTACAGTTGCTGTAGAAAGTGAAGCGATTTCGATATGGGTCCATTCCAGAAGTAGGAGGCCGATCTGTGCAGATGTAATTGGGTTTAAAATCACCTGTGACGTCACTGAGCTGATCAATACAGTCCGTTTGGTCAGGCAGAGTGGCCATGAGAGTGGATGCGGCGCTGGTCACTCACTCAGAGCCTAACTGCATCTGGCTGGTGACAGTTCTCTGCGACTCTCCGTCTGGGATCTTGTCGCTAGGTGACAGGAACATGCTTTTGTACTGCGACGCGATGTGTACTTGTTGCAGTTTCGTTGCCTGGCAACCGCTGCTTCATTTGTCACAAGAGGAATTCGGAGACGGCGGACGGGCGCTTTCTAGCCCGTGTATGAAGTAAAACATAACAATTTCATATGTGTACATTAATTTAAAGTAGCAGAGCGCAACCAGACACACAGTTGCATATATTTTCTGCAGCGTGATTGGTTTGAGTGTCACGTGCCGGCGCTAACGTCGGATTTGCCTGGAGGGACTGAGGAGACCCACGAAGAATCTGACTGAGCATAGCCGGTCTGTGGGCCGAGATCTGTGTTCGGGACATGCCACTGCTCACAGCACTGCCACGTCTGGCGCGCAGTGAAGAAATGTGTTTCGCTTTAAATATACGGTACGCGAAAACTGTATAAAGGATTATTGACGCCGTCCAGTGTGGTTGATAAATGCTGCGTTTTTTAATCTTTCATTCGTTACATCCATGCAAAGGATGGAAAAAAAAGAACTCCGTGGCTTGTAGTCTGCAAGCGAACTATACCGACCGAGCGACTGCCGCTTGTCGGCAAAGTTAATGCCAACTTTTGCCGATAGAGGGTGTCACGTGGTCAGCGCAACGGATCCCCACGGCCGTTAATCACGGTTCTCTAGCCCGGAGCTGCCATTTCATTGAAATAGCTCCTCAGTTATCCTCACGAGAGTGAGTGGATTCCGTTCCAGACACCACTACTACTCAGAAAGTCTGGTAGCGCCGGGAATCGAATCTGGGACCTCTGGATCTGTAGCCAGGAACTCTGATCACTAGACCACAGATGAAAGACTTAAAAATCACATTAATCAGTCACACTTAACGGCGTTACTAATCTGTTATACCATTGCTAGTGTGACGGGCCGGGCTGAACCAAGTCTCCTTTACCGAAAACGGGTTTTGTGCAGATGGGGTGTGGAATGGATGCCAGCCCTCAGTTCTGTGACACAGAACACAGCCAATTACAGTCCTCGTGTTCTGAGAACCACACACAAAGGGATGAAGTTTTGTTCTTCTGTGGAAACACTGACAGCAACAACAAAATATTTTATTTTATATTCCACGATTTCGAGGCATTCAGCGTTTGTGAAAACATTTACAATTCTGTACGGCGACTGTAATCTTGTTTGTGTCTCGTTATTGAAGGGACGTCGGACCGCGTGTGCCCCTAATGAAGCGTACAGAGAGCGGACACAAAGGAGAGGACCCCCCCTCCCCCACCTGCACTGCCTGGGGTCAGGGAACGCAAACATTTATGTCATATACGTTTCGAAACGGCGGGGCGCAATAAAATAACTGCCGCAACTAACGTTAACAAACCTCTCATGACATGTGACGCAGTTTACAGACGTTTCGGAGGGATGTACTGCCTTCATTTTCAGTGTCGAATAGCGAGTCAGGGCAGTTGTTTTGATGTCTCCTTCGCTTACTCTTCGACCCTGAAGATGGTGGCAGAACGTCCCTCTGAAACCGTCTGCAGACTTATAGCAGACAACATGGCGTCAAATCCCAGCAGCAGTTGTCGCTGTAAGAACCTCACATTGGGTCTGTGTGACACGAAGTTACATGTCTGCTGTGTCACCTCATCCAAAACTTGGCCACGACCACTTCCTGCATTGTCCTTGATCCAGTCGTTCCAGCTACCAAATGAAGCCGGTAGTCTCAGTGGTACCAACATGCAGAATACAGCGTGTCCCAAGTTTAATTTGCGTGGCGCGCGTAGTTTCGGCAGACCAGCCAGCACCCGAGCCACTCGCTGCTGCACGTTGCCCCATTTACAGTGGAGATTCTATATGCTGTTCTATGTTCAGTGCTGTTCTATATCTGTTTTAATTATGGGAGAACTTTCCTCCCTGTAAGGGCAATGTAGGTGAACATTGAACAGCCAACCCCCAGGGCAGTTGCTGCAGAATAAAATTACGCGTCCATACATGCTCTGTGTAAGACGGAAGGGGATGTTTGTGTTCTCCAAATGCTAACGCCCTTCGCTGTTGCGAATTCATAACTTTTTTACCACCCTGTACTGACTGTTAGATTCCCTGAATTAGGAACCCCATTTTTGACCCTCCCTCCTCTTCTACATCCTTACCACTTCTTCCTACGTTTTTCTTACTTTTTACCCTGTAGATGGAAGGAGTACGTACCTCCGAAACTTTGATAACGACCTACCAGAGTGTCGACTGGACTTGTTGGTATAGCGGTAACGCTCTGGACTCGTATTCTGGATGTGTTCGGTTCGAATCTCGACAGACACCTTCCCTCCTGTCGGTTCTGTGAGTTTTTTCCTCAGTCTCTCCAGGCAATGCCGGGACAGTAGCTTGATCAGATAACGACCGCTTCCTTCAAAATCCTTTCCAATTCATCTTCCATGCCACCATGTTGGTTAAAGACGCTGCAAGAGCAAAATGCACGGTGTCGTCACATGCCAGAACACAGGCACACAGGCGGACTCACTTGCCCCGCCACACTATGCTGTCGATCAGTGTAGGCAGGCTGCGCGGTTTGTGATTAGTGTCGCAACTTTGCACACCGTGTATGAGGCAGGATGCAGCACTGTGGTCGCTGGCACGCGATATTCAATTGCCTCGAAGCTGGCATTCGCGGCTGCTGTAATGAAGCAATACAGCGATGTCAGCAGTGCCAAGGCTCCCTAAGTACCGAGCCGTGAGCGATGCAGTGCAGTCACGCCAGTGCCGGGTTCTTTTCACGCCGACACGTGTGATGCATTTCGCCTGGAATTTAGAATGCGTCATAAAGACCGGGGTACGCGGTAGCGTAGTTGCTTGAGGCACTGTGCTAGAAGCCGGAAGGTCGAGGGTTCGAGTTCCGATGAGGTGGATTTTTTTCAATTGATCTAATCCCTCCAGCCGCACTATGGCCCTGGGGTCGACTCAGCCTCTAACAGAAATGAGTACCAGGAATCTTCCTGGGGGTAAAGGGCGGCCGGCGCGTAAGGCTGACAGCCTCACCACCATCTGTGAGCCGATTG